TGATTGAAGCTAAGGGCATACAAAACTGTCTAACAACAGACGCAGCCGATTTCACTGTCTCTAATTTTGTAGTAGGTGACTATTGGTTACCTGCCACAGGAGTGGAGGCTTGCTGTGAAAAACACTCTGAGTCTGAGATGAGTTTTACCTCTATTGTTCATCCTTTTGCCTCTTGTTTTGTATCGATCGTTTTAGTTAATTAAACAGAGATGCTAATCCTTCAATTCATAATAGCTGAATGAAGAATACGTTCTAATGTTTTAATGATCTTTTAAAGCCTTAACTACTAATTAAGCACAAGAGTTCATAACCCTATGCCTTATCTTGATTGTTGATGGCTGGGGAAGGGATTGCTCACTGGTGACCTATGCTCACACGGACACACCTGTCGAATGTTTTTAATACCTGTGTCGAATGTGTTCTCACGGGTGTGCTCTTGGGTGAGAAGTTGTCTCAAACAGTTAGGGTTTTTGGTTTTCTCAGATGGGAGAAGCAATATTCCGAATGTCGATGAGAGAGGCAGTAATCCGACGGTTCTTCTTCTTAGACGATGAGAGAAGCAGCGGCCGGTGAGAAGTTGCGGACTGTATTCGGACTGCTCTTCTTATCAGACGAAGGTACGAGAGTTCTTCTCAGAAGTTGTGGACTGTTCTTCTCAGAGACGCATCCTGTTCTTCAATCTCAAACAAAGGGGAAGCAGAGGCTGATGAAGGAAGAAAGCAGCGACTGTTTTGGGTTGAATAATGACGGGGGAGTTGCGGATTGTTCTTCTCAGAGACGCATCCTGTTATTCAATTTCAAATAAAGGGGAAGCAGCGACTGAAGGAAGCAGCGGCTAATGCTTGGATTTTGGGTTGAATAACGACGGGGGTAATTTTGGTATTGCAAAATGGGCCGAAAATAATAAAGGGTAAAGTGATAAATTAATGATATTCGTTAGTGAAGTTACTGAGACGGTGAGTTGTTGACGTTTTGAAAAATTGTGATGGATAGATTTCGGAAAAACTGATGGTGGGTTTTAGACAATTTTTTTTTATTAAATTATTGTAATAATCAATAATTATTATTATAATATAATTAATTAGTAATTATTGTTATTCTAATTATTAGAAATGGGTGTTCGCACGTGGGAGAACCCCATATATCCTATAAAAGATAAGATAAGATAAACCCCATATATTGACCATTGAGCATATTGTGTCGATGTTTTGAAATAAAGAAAAGGCATATGCCATGGACCGGTACAAATTTGTATACGTAATTGAGAATGCCTCCTCTGTCCTCACCCTTATTTTGCCTTCTCAACGGCTGTGATGGAGGAGCCATCGGTGGTGAATGAGTCGTACCTCAGAAACAAGTCCGCTAAGAACAGGCATGCCGTCACAACCACATGGTCCTTGGCTGCACATTGCTTATTGGACGTGCTGGGTGAGCCCGTCTGCGGTCCATTGGACCAGTAGAGATAGTTCAGAAGCTGTTGCCCTTTCTCTTTTGTAAACCGTTCTGGTTGAAATGTCTCCGGCTCATCGAACACTTTTGGATCTCTCATGGCCAGTAGTTGGTATCCACACAGGAGCTCACCCTTCTTGATTTCGTAGGACGAGTCATACGAACTCAGTATGAAATCCTTCCTAGCTCGGGCAAATTGCAGAGGAACCGGTGGGTTGTATCGGAGTGTCTCGTAAACAAATGATTGGACGAGTTCCATTTCCCTCACCGAGTCAAAACCGAGTGACGACGACCCAACCTTTTCCCTCACCTCCTGTCTTAGCTTATCTTGTAACCCTGTTTTACCACTCCCAAGGGTGGTTATCAGAGAAGGCAAGAAAACCGAGAAGCCACCGAAGGCGTTGAAACCTAGGACGAAGAGTAAGTTGTGAATGGTTTCTTCTTCACCCAGTTGGAACTGTGTCTCACCTCTTTCTATCACCTCCCTCCCTTCTTTCTTTACGAAGTCGTAGAGTTTCTGGTAAGATCCTTTCACCAAGAAGAATGGGTAAGCAAAAGAGTGGAGAAAAATCTCCTCCAGAGGCTGCAAAATTCCAATCTTCACAGTCGGGAGGAGCTGAAGCGCCAACCATGCATCCAGCATGGCAAACCCATTATCGGCGATTTCAGGTGAGTTTGACGTGTCGGCTCCAACCAGGCACTTGATGAGAAACCGAAAAATGCACCGCTGCAATGGTACAGGGAAACTTGCACTCCCCTTCGACGTGATATCCTTCTCGATGGTATTCCACATGACGTCGAGGTTAGAGACGAACTCGGAGGCCCAGATGCCGGAGCTCCTTTTGAGGATGTCAGTGGCAAAGTTCTTGACCTGAGTGAAGACGATAATTATATTGTTTGGTGTTTGGCAGCTGCCAAATGATCCAATTGCAAAAATGTATTTCAAATTAAGGGCGGTAATTCTGAAAATTAACTAATTAACAAACCAGAGCGTGTTTGGACTCCGACGGATCGAGATACACACTGACGCGAATGTTGCCGGTGAAGCTAACACTAGGCATGAAATCACCAACAAGGACATTTTTCTTGTCGACGAGGTCCATGTCAAAGAGGTGGGAGAAAGATTTGCAGTCGAGGACGGCGATGACATTCGGGTTCACGGATGGAAAGAAAGGGAAGGCCGGAGGAATGTTAGTACGAAAGACAGTGCTCTTGTATTTCTCCATTCGCTTGCGGAAAAACGTCTCGGGACCTTGGAACCAAAAGTAGTCCAAACGGTCCGACAGAGGGCCGATCAACGGCAAGCCATGGGTGCCGGGAATCGTTCTGATCTGCGGCATCGGAGGCGTTGGAGTTAGCGAGGGCATGGAGGATGCCGGCGGTGGAGTCATCATCTTCAACATCGTCATTGCCATTGCTTATGATCTTTTATTTACTATGCTGTGTTTTGTACGAGTATATATATATATATATATACGCTTCCAATCCTTACCACACAGATGAACCAATCCGGATCGATCATGTAGCACACACACTATGAGCCGGCTGAGTAAGCTATTCGAAGCAACGTTTTAAATATCGACTGTCGGTGCTCCCAGCATGATATGGCCTGATCCGATACAACCCCTGTAGTATCGGGAAGCTCCCAGCATGATATGTATCGGCCGATACAGGCTAATACGTATCAATAAGGGTGTTAATGGACAGGTTTTGGATTGGACCCTGTCAAGTCCAAAATCAATTTGGACAGATTGGACGGACCAACAATACATATTGGATTGGACCAATCCGGTCCAAAATATTTATTAGATTAGATTGGACCTGGTCGGTCTATATTAAATTTATATTAGATTGTATTGGATTAAGCCAATATCTGGTCCATTGATATAAGATAAGAATATAGGTGTCAATGGACCAGGTATGGATTAAAACCAATCGAAATCAAAACGAATTTGAATAGATTGGATGGTCCAGACATTGAATTGAAATGGTCCAAAATATTCATTGGACTGGATTGGACCTGATCTATTTATAATGGACTCACATTGGACTGGATCGGATTGGACTTGATGTAGGGTGATTTGGCCCGACCTAGTAATAGGGGGACACGTGGACACAACCTAACTGACAGAACGACAGCTCATTCCGATGTACCCAAATCTGAAATGGACTAAGCTCGGATAACCGAACCACCTCGGGACAAGCCCACCTCGGAAGCGAATCTACCTCGGGACAGGTTCACTTTGAGGCACGATTGCGTCAGGATCAATTCGGTTAATAGGCACCTCGGCGTTCGTACCAGATCGGACCCAGGGGGCATTAGTTCGGTTACTATTGACTGACCTCCACGTGATAACCCCGAAGATCTCGTCACCAGATTCCATGTTTCACGGGATCACACCTTGTAACAGCTGGTCTTATCTCCTCCGACCGATTCAGACGGCAACGATATGCCTTATCGACTGGCGTCGTTATCTCCTATTAATTCGGTAACGGGCCTCATCACGGCAGGAATCCCAGAACCACTCTGAATAACCCGCGAGGACTCCAGTATATAAAGTCCCCAACCTTTCGGGGGCAGAGGTACGCGCAACTATTGCTTACTAGCCTTCTTGCATTCTAATTGCTCTTAGCTCGCACATTACTGACTTAAGCATTGGAGTGACCTCGCCGGGTAAGCACCCCCGGGTTCTCTGATTCTCTTTGTGTAGATCTCCACGTCCGTCGTCTACTAGAAGCCAAGTCACCTCCAGCAAGGAGTAGCAAGATTGCGCACCATCATTTGGCGTCGTCTGTGGGAAACGCTTCGAAAAGCCTTTTTCCTCCAAGCATCCTAAACTCATCTTCAATGGCATCCTCTAGCAACGCCGAAATGAACACCTCCGGGGGGCAACTCCAGGTCCCAACTATCTGTATCGGACAGTTCACCGTGCCTCTCTCTGCAGATGGGATCCCCACTTTCATTGTACCTCAGGTTCTTGCACCGATGAATGCCCCACTCCCCTTGACGGTGGGTGCAACCATCGCCGAACCTTCAGTCATCCCCCCGGTGGTCAGACAGAATCAGTTGGACGACCTAATGCACTGACTGCATGTGGGCTATTCAAGCCCAAATGCAACAGGTCCAACAGTTTCAACTGTATCAACAACAGGTCCTACACCACGTTTATCAGCAGCAGTACCGGCAGCAGTTTCCCCCACAGCTGCAGAATTAGCAGACTCAGCAACCAGTTCCACCTCGGCATCCGGCCACACAGTAAGTTAAGCCTCGCCGCCGGGGCAAGCGCCCTCCTCGTCAGGGAGAGACCTCCCAAGTCCAAAACCCTCTTGGGAGACAGGTCTCGTCCCACGGCAGGAGGGAAGACAGGTTACTCCTCCCGCCTCCCAACAGGTGAACAGATCGAGAGATACCCAGCCTGCCAGGGCCCTGTTACCTCGGCCCTCCCAGTTTGAAGTTCTACTCGCGGAGAACCGATTCGGGGTTTTGGCCGCAGATTCCAGACCAGGCCCCTCAGTTCGCAACAGCCGCCACCAACAGTCTGAGTAGCTCCCTACAAGGACCGTGCCCGATAACACCGAGGCCAGTAGCACCAACGTGGAGCCGGTGAAGAAGCAACAGAGGCGGCGTCGCGAGGCTCACCGAGCTGCAGTCCAAAGCCAGCCCAACCAGCCCAAAGGAAAGGAAGAGGCGAGTTCGGGAACAGTGAAGATTACCCCACTCCTCTTTGTACCATCTCCCCTATCTCCCGAGCTCCTAGCAGTTCCAATGCCCAAGGACTTCAAAGTACCTCCCCTAGAAAAGTATGATGGGTCGTTCAATCTGAATGACCATGTGGATTCATTTCAGTCACAGATGCACCTAGCTGGGGCAGGTGAACTCTGTATGTGCGTGGCTTTCTCCACCACCTTCAAAGGGGTAGCCCGCACATGGTATGGAAACCTAGCGCCCGGGACAATCAAAAGTTGGGTGCAATTCGTGCAGATCTTTACTTCGCACTTTATCACAAGCAAGAGGTTCCCGAGGTCCCAGGAAAGCTTTCTCGGCATAGTCCAGAGGGAGGGAGAATCCATCCGAAGCTACATCAAGAGATTCAATGATGCATGCTTGCAGATCCCTAATCTAAACCTCGCCGTGAGACTCATAGCGGCCAAAAGAGGTATCATGCATAAAGAATTTAAGTGGCACGTGGTTGCCAACAAACCCAAAGATGTTATCGAGTTCCTCAAGCTCGCCGACCAGTTCATCGAAACAGAGGAAGAGATGAACCAGAAGAGTGAGAACCCACCAGAGAAGAGGAAAAGAGAAGGTGAGACCTCAAGTAATGGGGACAACAAAAGGAAGAAGGATGAACCAGCTCGAGGAGGAAGCAAACCTGATTAGCCTCTCCGAGCCCCTCTAGTAGAAATAACAAATTACGTGCCCTTGCCGATCCAGTAGAAATCCTCATGGTGATCAAGGACGCTTCTTACGTGAAGTGGCCACCTCGGATGAGAGGAGATCCGAACACTAGAAATAGAAACGTGTACTGCCACTTCCACAGAGATCACGATCATAGCACCAAAAATTGTAAGAACCTCCGCGATGAGATAGAAGAACTCATCTGTCGCGGATACCTGAAAAATTTTGTATTAAGTGATAATAAAAATCAGACAGGTCGGCAAGGGGGAGCAAAGTAGAGATGCTCACGAGTCTAGCAATAGGCATAACGAGCAGCCGCAGAGACAGCTGCCCAAAGAGAGGCCGGTTCGAGGAGTAATACACATGATCACCGGCAGATTGATTGTTGCGGGTTGCACTTCAGCCCCGTCAAAGACATCAACTCATGAAATAGAAAGAGAAGAACAGAATCCTCCGAAGCGGCCAAGGTTAGAAGAGCTCATTTTCTTCACTGAAGATGACGCGCACGGAGTCCAGTACCCCCATGATGACGTGCTCGTCATAAAGTTAAGAATTTATGATTTCAAGGTGAAGTGCATCCTGGTTGACTCAGGCAGCTCGGCGGACATACTCTTCAAAGATTCATTCGACAAGCTGCAGCTCCAGGAGAGCGATATCAAGCCCGGGAACACTCCCTTGGTAGGATTCAACGGAGAGGAAGTCAGAACCCTGGGAAGAGTTACAATACCTGTGGAGGTCGGTACCTGGCCTAGCATAGCGAGATTCGACTACACTTTCTTAGTGGTCACAACTCCCTCCCCATACAATGCCATAATAGGTTGGCCTATCACCCACGCTTTACGCGCAATGGTGTCCACCTATTACCTGGCCATGAAGTTCCCCATGGACTTTGGAGTAGGGGTAGCGCAAGGCGACCAGCTTGAGTCTCGCAAGTGCTACGTCGCTGCCCTCAAAGGGAAAGCCAAGGCAATAGACGACCTCGAGTTGGAGCGACCTACGGAATATCATGAGGAGCGAGCTTCACCAATAGAAGAGACGGTCCCTATACCCGTTTCCGCAGAGGATCCATCCAGGACTCTCCAAATCGGCGCGTCGATTGAGGAGCCTCTACGTTCTCAGTTGGTAAGCTTCTTACTTCAAAATTTAAATATTTTTGCATGGTCCGTGGCAGAGATGCACGGCATAGACCCTAGATTAATCACTCACAAACTGAACACTGATCCTGTAGTTAGGCCCGTTAAACAGAAGAAACGCAACCTAGCCCCGGAGCATTGGAGAGCAATCGACGAGGAAGTTGGGAAGCTCCTCGCAGTCGATTTCATCAGGGAGGTCCATTACCCGAGATGGGTGGCTAACCCTGTTCTGGTAAAAAAGGCCAATGGTATGTGGCACATGTGCGTCGACTATACCGACATGAATCGAGCTTGCTTGAAGGACTGCTTCCCACTTCCTAAGATCAACCGTTTGGTGGACGCGACCTCAGGGCACAAGTTGCTGAGCTTCTTGGATGCTTATTCGGGATACAACTAGATCAGAATGGACCCTTCCGATGAGGAAAAAACGGCATTCACAACCACGCTACGCCTGTACTGCTACAAGGTCATGCCCTTTGGACTAAAAAATGCCGGGGCAACATTTTAGAGACTTGTAAACCGCCTGTTTGGACTGAAAAATGATTTAATAATTTTTCATTTTTTAGTCCAAAGGGCATTGCCCTTTGGTATGTGGCGCATGTACGTCGACTATACCGACCTGAATGGAGCTTGCCCGAAGGACTGCTTCCCACTTTCCAAGATCGACCGTTTGGTGGACGCGACCTCAGGGCATGAGTTGCTGAGCTTCTTGGATGCTTATTCGGGATACAACCAGATCAGGATGGACCCTACCGATGAGGAAAAAATGGCCTTCACAACCGAGTTACGCCTGTACTGCTACAAGGTCATGCCCTTTGGACTGAAAAATGCCGGGGCAACATTTCAGAGACTTGTAAACCGCCTGTTTGAGCCGTTAATCGGCAAAAAAGTAGAATGCTATGTAG